GATCCTTCCACTGAGCTCCATAAATGGTTAAACTGATTGATTGAGGGGCTTTATTTTGTTTTTGAGGGTGTTTTTTTTTTTTGTTTTTTTTTTTTGGTTTTTTGATGGGATCTCTTGCCCAGAATGCTTACCAACTAACTACTAGATTTAAATGATCCCCTGCCTGAGCCTTGGAGTAGCTGAGCCTGTAGGCAAGTAGTTCTGGATGGAGCTGCCGATTCCTATGGAGTAATCTTACTGACAGCCCTTCATTTTACATTCTCAAGATGTTGATGTGGACAAAAGCAGAAATAGGAGTGGTACACTATGAGGGGATCATGTCTGAATTGGTGATAAAATAATGCACAGCTACCGCGTATCCCAACATGACCCAGCTGAGGCAAGAGGATTCCAACTTCCAGCTTAGTCTGTGCAAATGACCACTTAGCAACGTGTTTTTAAGAAAAGTATGGCACTGCCTCAGTGCAAGGCCTTAGGGCTCTAGCCATAGCCAGTGTGCAGGACTAAAATAAGCAACTAGTTGCCTATGCTAAGTAAGACAGTACACATGCAGCCCAACCCCTGGACACAAAATCCTCGGCTCGCGTCTGGGAATCTTCCCGCTCAGCGGCAGGAGGCGCTGTGGCAAGGTGCCCTGCTGGCTCCTGGCTCCGGCGTGGCACCGCTCTAGCAGCCGCTTCTCAGTAGCCCGCTAGTCCTCAGTTCCCTGGCCCTCCAGCTGGCCAGAAAGCCCCAACTTGCTCCCCTGGAGATGTGATGGTGAGACTCCCAAAGCTCCCAGTCTTTGACTTGGGTGAGGGACAGGCAGAGAGTCGGCTGAGGCGCCTCTCCCGAGCCTCTTCCCACGGCGGCACAGTCCCTGCGCCCGCACGGTCGAACCTAACCCCACTTCCTCCACAGATTACACGCTCTGGCCTTTCTGGGTCGACACGCACATAGATCCGGCGGTCCATCGGAGCAAGTGAGGCCGGGAGAGGGAGGATGGGACCCAGCGGTGCGTGGCCAGGGCTGAACGACCTGTCGCCCTCTGCAGTGATGGATCAATATGAGATAGGCGGGATCAGAGTGTGGCTCTGTACCCGGAGGTGCCTGCCGTTCTGGACCGATTGCAGGACCGGGGGTGCCCGTGGCGGCCACCTCATGGTAAGGAGAACAACTGTCCACGATCGCTGCTAATTCTAAAAGACACGCACGTGGAGACTTTTAATGTACACTGACAGAACTTTAAGAAGTACACTGCGCAAGTGGCGCAGGCCTGCATCCCAGCTGCTCGCGAGGCTGGGGCAGGAAGTTCTCAGCTTTGAGGCCAGCCCGGGCAATTTGGAGACACCCTTAAATATAAAAAAGCCTAGGGATGTAGCCATGTTCAGTCCCTAGTTTAATTTTTTTAAAGTGCAGGGACCAAGAGAGGAACAAATGGCAAGGAGTACAAGAGAAAAACAAGATATGTCCTCCAAAGTCTGCCAGTGCCCCATGATGAATGTAATCATTATGTTCTACAAACATATGCTAATAAAATTTATATTACAAAAGTGCAAGCTCATTTGATGGGTGTCCTAATTCTACCCTCTCCTATACCTTTTAGTTATTAAGCAGTGGCTCCACACCAGCTGGGTCTCACAGAAGGCAGTGGAGTGCAGCAAGGGGCTTCAGAGTCTCTCCATCTTGGAAAAGGGGCAGGCTGACTGGCCTCCACCTGCTTATACTTAGCCTTGCTTACAGCCTGGCCCTTCTCTCTTCTTACTCCATCATTATACCCTTTTGCAGGACAGGTGAGGTAGAAGGGGCCAACCAGCTACTGGAGCTCTTTGGCCTTGTCAGATACTTTGTTCATTGGGAAATCTATCCAGGCAGCAAGGTTACACACTTTGAGAGGTAGGCAGGGCAAGGGTGGGAGCTGGGGAGGGCTGGGGGAGCCCAGGTGCCACTGCCTAAGCCCTGGCTGTCTTGCACAGGTTGCATCAGAAGACTGGAGTTGCTTTCTCACAGATGATCTTCTTTGATGATGATAAGCAGAATATTGTAGATGTCACCACCCTGGGTACTGGGCAGGGATGCTAGCCATTGGGGGATGAGGGAAGAGTTCTGAGGAGGCATTAGTAACTATGTACAGGGTGGGCAGTCTGCATGACAGGGGACACCACAAAAAGGTGAGAGTCTGAATGGGAGCCTTGACAGCTTGATGCCATGTGACTGCTTTTCCTTCCAGGTATTACCTGCATTCATGTCCAGAATGGGATGAGTCTTCACACCTTAACTCAAGGATTAGAGACATTTGCAAAGGCTCAAGCTGGCCCGTGAGGTCCAGCCTTGTGGATGAGCCTCACTAGACACCTAAAACTGAAAGGAGATCAAAAAGGCATCCAGGGGGCCAGGGAGATGGCTCAGTGGAATAAGCGCTTCCCTGGCAAGCGCAAGGGCCAGAGTTCAATCCCCGGTTCCGCAAAAAAAAAAAAAAAAAAAAAAAAAGGCATCCAAAGGTGCATCATCTGTACTCTATTAAAGTGTACTTGTGTGGTAGAAACGACCTTTTTATGCTGTGGATTGATTCTATTATTCTGTGGTGAATGGGCTGGTTATCCTGAGATGTCCTGACAAGCATGTGACACTTTTTTTTTCCTTTTGGTACCAAGGATTGAACTCAAGCCCCTGTGCTTGCCAGGCAGGTGGTTATTTTACTGAGCTATGACCCCGGCTCTTTTTTTTTTTTCCAGAACTGGAAATTGAACTGAGGACCTTGCGCTTGCCAGGCAAGCGCTTACTCTATTGAGCTATCTCCCTAGCCCCTGAGACTTTTTTAAGAGTAGGAATATTTTAGTGAGAGGAATAGTGCGTTGGAGACAGAAGGGGCACAAAAGTGGGTTGCCCCAGAGTGTGACACCTTAGAATCATAGGTTCTGCCTTCTACACCTGTGACGCAGGCTGTGATGCAGAGGTCATAAAGAACTCACCACACTTAGCAGTGCCCTCTCAAAGCACTTTCTTTTAGGGAGCCATGACAGTCTAGGGATGGAGACAATATTTCAGGTAGTAGAAATTAAGTGGCCCTTTTAAGAGGAACACATCTGGTCTGACCTGGGGCTCTGGACAGTGACAGCAGTGTTTTTTCTGCAGCTTATGGTGATATCATCTTACAAGGTGGCTAGCTCACAAAGAAGGGACAGGCCAAGACCCTTAGCTCTGAGAGGCACCTTTGAGGAGCAGGACAGAAGTGTGAGTGCCATCTGAAGCCAGAGGTGGGAAAGCCTAGATCCCAGTGAGTGGGCTCCTCCAACTTATCAAGAATGGTGGGGCCTGCAGGTTAGCTCAGTTGCTTAAGGGCAAGTCCAGTCAGGCCCTGGGGACCACGGTTTGATCCCCAGCTCCCCATGCCTTACCAGACCCGCCCTTAAGGCAGCCTGAGCCAGCCCCCCCCCAAAAAAAATCCTTCTAAATGGTGGGGCTGGAGAGATGGCTCAGTGGTCTAAGGCACCTACTTAGAACAAGCTTGGCAAAGCATCAGGGACCGCGGTTCAATCCCCCAGCACCACATGCCAGCCAGCCCCGCCCCCTGGTGGGCTGAGCTGGCCACACACACACACCACACACTCACTCTCTCTCTCTCTCTCTCTCTCTCTCTCTCTCAAAAAAAAAAAAAAAAAAAAAAAAAAAAAAAAAAAGAATGGTGAGCCCAGATCAGCCAGACCATGGGAGGTGCTGGCTGAGCAGAGGAGGGAAGACTGAGGGTCTGGCCACGGGACTGAACAGTTGCACGATGCTGGCCTGTGGTAGGGCCAAGCTCACAACTGGTGCCAGGAGGCCTCATCTTGCCACCTTGTGGTGGCGCCTTGTCCCCTCTTTCTTCCTGTGGGAAAAGAGTGCTTAGGACCCAGAGCACATAGGGTTGGATGAGTAGGACCTGCTGGTTCCACTGCACAGGGTAGGGAACTGGTTTCTAGCTGTCTCCTTTGGCTCCTCCCTAACCACTGATACTACTTGTGCTGAGCAAGAGACACCTTAGGGGAAGAAAACAGATGGCTTCTTGAAGCTCAGGTCTGGAGAGGGAAGACAGCACACACAGGGATAGAGGGTGCGGCACAGCAACTCAACCTGTGCTCCCAGAAAACCAGGCAAAGGCTGAAGTAGAAGTGGACATCGGAGTGGTTGTTCCACAAGACTAGCAGTCTCCAGGTGGAGCAGGAGGTACTCCCAGAATCAGTAACAGCCTTCAGTAACACAGATACAAGGAAGCTTGTGATATGTGTGGGAATAGACAAACAGTGGCTGCCCCAAGAGAGTGCATGTGTTACAGTATGTGATGTGTAATACAGATAGAAAAGTAAGAGAGAGTAGGGATGGCGAGGTAAACACTGCTAGATATGAAAGGTGCAGTAAATCTCCCTAAACACATGGATTTGGTTCACAGGAATGTTGTCTGGCACTTGGAGGGCTCAGAATATGCTAAGTTATATAGAAATTTTTTTTTTTCCTCAAAAACTGAAATAGAAGAAAAGTGTTGAATTTTGTCCATGGGTAAGAGATTACTGAAGAATTTTATCAGTAAAGGCCATCAGGCTTTTCCTTGAAATTTGACTGTTGAGGGGCTGGTGAGATGGCTCAGTGGTCTAAAGCACCTACTTAGAACAAGCTTAGCAAAGCACAGGGACTGCGGTTCAATCCCCCAGCACCACATGCCAGCCAGCCCTGCCCCCTGGTGGACTGAGCTGGCCACACACACACACACACACACACACACACAAATAATATAAAAAAATTTAAAAAAAAAGAAATATGACTGTTGAAAGTATGGAAGGCAAAGAGAGGAACTGAAATGAAAGCTATTTGCTCTGGCACTTTGTACTTCCTTTAGCTTGTCTATGGAGTCAGGACTGTTGACATCTAGCAGATAAAACTGCTGTCAAAACATGTTCAGAGGGCTGGGGAGATGGCTCAGTAGGATAAGCGCTTGACCGGCAAACGCAAGGATCTGAGTTCAATCCCCGGTTCCGAAAAAAAAAAAAAAACATGTTCAGAATATTGTAATTATTTGTTAAGAAACTGCTTTTACTTTTTTTTTTCTTCTTTTTGAACCAGGGATCAAACATAGGATCTTGAGCTTACCAGGCAGGCACCTAAGCCACTGAACTATCTTTTCCAACTGGGATCTCATCCTATTGAGAAGTTTTTGCACGTCAAAAGAAATCACCAACAGAATGAAAAGACAACACACAAATGGGGAAAAAAAATCTTAATCAACAATCATTCCAACAAAGGACTTCTATCTAGAATATATAAAGAACTAAAAAAAATTTAGGCCCCCAAAATTCGAAGAACCAATCCAAAAATGAGCATCTGAGATCAATACATACTTCTCAGAGGAAGAAATACAATTGGCAAATACATGAAAAAATGTTCCACAGCACTTGTCATTCAATAAATGCAAATTAAAACAACAGTGAGATACTATCTCACCCCAGAAAGAATGGCTGTCATAAAGAAATCAACTTGCTGGGGAGATGGCTCAGTAGAATAAGTACGTCCCTGGCAAGCACAAGGGCTTGAATCCAATCCCTGGTTCTGCAAAAAAAAATAATAATAAATTAAAATAAAGAAATAAAAATAAAGAAATCAACTAATAATAAATGCTGGCAAGGCTGTAGGGTAAAAGGAACCCTTCTCCACTTACAGAATGGAGAATAAATAAAATATTTATAAACAGGGTACAACCACTATGGAAATCAGTGTGGAGACTCTTCAGAAAACTAGGAATAGAAATCCCACTCAACAGAACTATTCCTCTTCTGGGTATTTTTCCAAAAGAACTGAAAACATCATACCACAGTATTACCTGTGCACCCATGCTTATAGCAGCACGATTTGTGATAACCAAATCATGGAAACAACCCAAATGCCCATCACCTGAGGAATGGATAAAAAAAGATGTATTTTTTATACAATGGAGTGTATTATTCAGCCATAAAGACAGACAAACTTGAGGCCTTTATAGGTAGATGGATACAATTAGAGGCTATACTCATAAGTGAAATAAGTCAGACCCACATGTGTGAATACTGTATTGTCTCCCTAGTGTAAGAACTTGAAAGAATAAATAAAATCTGAAAGGTACAATAAATATAGTAAAATGGAAAAAAACTGAACATGGAAACAATGAAGATGAGAGAAAAAAAGCAGGAAAGCTCATGCAAGTATATATACAGAATAGCTGAGATGATTGTACTAATTCCATCAGTTCTCTGAAAATAGTTTATGTTTAAAATTTTCATTTGGACTAACTATATGCTAATATGTATAATCTGAACAACTACATCAAAGACATCAATGTGTAATACAAAACCCATGGTTGAATATTTCTCAACTTGTTCTTCTATGTGTATCATTTCTAATGTTTTATCAATTATGATTATATTCTTTAAATTTAAAAAATAGAGGGGTTGGGAAGATAGCTCAGTAGACTAAGTGCTTGCCTGGCAAGTGCAAAGTCCTGGGTTCAATCCCTTGTATCACCAAAAAACAAAACAAAACAAAACCACCCACAACACATAACATTGTTAATTTGCTATTCTTTTTTTTTTTTTTTTTTAGAAAGCATCAAAAAGAGAATTTATTTAACCATTCTCGCTGATAATACAGCAAGTGGGTGAATAATTCATGCTATAACATGCTGAATGAACTGAAACCAAAAAGTTGGTTGGAAGGAGGCAGAGGAACTTTGTCTTATAAGAATCAGAATCGAGGGGCTCCATAATCATCTGGCATCCGTTCAATGTTGTATCTGTGATTAGAAATGTACATGATAGGAACTCCAGGGATCTTCTGGATCCTCCGTTTAAGGTCTCGGTCAACTGTGGCCACAATGTAACACTTGTGCTGAGTTACTCTCTGCACCAAGCAGTCGTCTGCATAGGTCCCTTTATATGCGCAAGGTAAGCGTTCAAACCGTGGATCCTTGGCGATCCTTAGGGCCACTCGATACTTCTGTCCCAATTTTTCAATTTCTGCCATTACACAATGAGTTATACAAGGGATACACTTGGCATACAGACAGTCCATCATTGATTGTACCAAGTCCAATTTGGCTTTGATGGCAAAGTTGATGAAGTTGGTATCAACCAGGATATGATAAGGTGGGCCCAGCTGTGTATTATTCTGGAAGAATAAGCAGGAAGGATGCTGGGGGACTTCTCTTTCCTTTAGAGCACTAGGATCTTTCTTTTCTTTCTTTTTAGGTTTTAATCTATCCTTTTGAGTCTCTCATCTCTGAGACTAAGCATTCGCTTCATGGTCGCATACTTTCTTGTTTTCTTTTGTTTCCCCATGTCCACGCCGCGGTCCGCTTCTGCCGGAATCCTAATTTGCTATTCTTGTTTAGAAAATAAGTGCTATATGTATTCTTGTATGTTACTCTGTTTCTGTCTTTATTTTTGCTGTCTGTTTTCACTCTTTAACACTATCTTTTTGGGGCCAGGGAGATAGCTCAGTAGAATATGCACTTGCCTGGCAAGTGCAAGGTCCTGAGTTCAACCCCAAGTACCAAAAAAATATTATTCTTTTTTTTTCTTTCATGACGGGCTCAGCCCATCCCAGAGGCAGGGCTGCACAGCATGTGTTGCCAGCGATCTGGGATTGAACCATAGTCCCTGGGCACTTTGCCTAAACTTACCTAAGCAGGCACTTTAGGCCACTGAGCTATGTTGCCAGCCCCATTTTTCACTTTAAAATAAAATAAATTTTCTTAAAAAGTGATCAGAAATGACTGAAAGGCATCTGGGAACACTGGGAAGGATACTGGCTGTTGAAGTCATTTTGGCACATTGTGATTGCTTTTTCTGTTACTAGTTGTGATTTTAGACAAAATAACATTTCTGTGCCCATTTTCCTGTTTGTAAAGTGAAGACGGTATATTTGTCTGTGGTAGAGAATCACATGGACATTACCAGTAAGACATAGTATCCTCTCAATGAATTTTTCTTCACACCATATGGGTTGCTCCACTGGACTCCCCAGGGATGAAGGACAAGGGACCAAATCCTGAAGAACAATCCAGAGACTGGAGAAGGCAGAGGAGATACTGATCAAGAAAGGAGTTTCTCGAGCAGAAGATTCACTAAGAGCTACAGTCAGCCCAGAAGGATGAGACCAAGGATAAAAGAGGTAACGAGGGACAGGAACTGCTGGAGGGCCCAGAGGCTTTTTCTTGGCCTCTGGGCTTTCCAGTTGATGTTGATGAGGAGAATGTGGCAAGGATTTGTGGAATGCTGGACAAAGTACAGCATGGCCAGAAAGAATATCCCAGAGAGGCTCTAGGGACCATGTTGGGAAGGAACTCTAAAAGTGATGTTTTGGGAACTGTTTCCAATGTTAACAGTTTTCTCATCCTGGGTCTAGAATGAGTTGTTGGAAGAAATACAGGAAGTGGAGCAGGAGGATTTGGCCCAGGAGTTGTTATATGTGGGTGACAAGAACCCCCTGTTCAATTGCCTAATGTACCTCCCACTCATCAGCCTGCTGCACCACGTATCCAGGGCGATTCATTATCTTTGGGACTTGTGTGGGTTTGGAGAACTTTG